GCAGGGGGGGCGGGGCGGGGCAGACAACCCACTCTCCAGGCCAAACCCTGCCTCTGCCCATCTCCCTAAATAAAGTTTTATTGGCAGCAGCCACACTTGCTCATTTGGGTCCTTCCATGGCTGCTTTTGCACCTCGAGAAATTGAGCAGTTTGACAGTTGTGAGGAACGCACCACCTGCGCAGCCTGAGACGCCTGCCATGCCTGCCATTTGGCTCTGCACTGGAAACACTTGCTGACCCTGCTCTAGACCCGATCCCTGAGATTGTGAGCCCAGAAATAGAGATGCCCCAACTGACAGGCATCACCAACTGCAGGGACACAGGAGGGATGGAGACTGCTGCCACTTGCTGTGGGTGACGTGTGTGTGACTGCGTGAGCACACGTACACCTGTCTGGATGGGCCTGAGACAGGTGCAGCTCAGGTGTGAGCAGCAGTCCCGCCACCCAGCAGGCCAGAGTAGCAGAGCTGATCCCACCCACCAGGGCCAGACAGCTATGGGAGCCCCCCTCCCATTGCCCATGAGAGGTGCAGGACACTGAGATGGGAAACTGGTGGGCCAAGAACAAACTGGCCCCCATGGGAAGCCCAGGAGGAGCTTCTAAGAAGGAAGAGGAACCCCTCCCCACCTAAAGCAAGGTTGACCTTGGGTGCAGCGGGCTGGAAGGGGCTTCCTGCCACCTCTGAGAGCCTGCCCCACCTCCTCATACCCAGGACTAACGAGGGATGTGGTCATGGGATGGCCTTGTGACTGGCCAACAGCCTGGGGAGGGGCCGGCATGTTCCTGGGGTCTTCAGTGAGTCACCCAGCCTGCCCACAACCTCTTGAATGATTAAGAATCCCTCACGCAGGGCCAACACAGGCTCCCACACCAGGGCCCCGGGGGGTATAGCTGCCAGGCAGTGCTAGCACGGAGCCCCTAAGCCGGTCAGGCTCTGCTACTGGCCCTGTATGGATGGGACAAGGACGCCTCCCTTTGGCCCCTGTGGACACGGGAGCTGAGCCTGTTAAAAGACTAAGCTGGACATAAAGCAGGTCCCTGAGGAGTCTGGGCAGGGGATGGGAAGTGGGGCAGGGGTGCACACCTGCAAGACAGCAGGCAGCACCAGCTCGGGGAAGGAGATGCTGTGTGCGTGGCCGTGCAGGTACTCCAGAGTGAGGTCACAGAGCTGCTCCACTAGGCCATCCTAAGGCAGCAAGGAAGGGACCGCGCTCATCAGGTGTGGGGGTGGGAGCCGTGCAGAAGTGGCCCACTCCCCAGAAGCCACACTGACGCTTGCTGGGGCTGGGACTAAGGAGCCTCTTGTCTCCCCACCCTGGGAGACCCGGTTAGGTCACACACGAACCCGAAGCCACACACCCCGCCCTAGGAGGCCGCCTCACCCGGTATGCCTTCTCCTGCAGGTTGACATTGGACAGTTTCAGGATCACAGAGAAGTTGATGGGCTTGGAGCTCATGCGCCCCGGCTTCCTGTTGAAGTCAACCTGTTGGAAAACCTGCCCCGAGGGCCACATCAGCACAGCCACAGCTGCACCCTGATCTTTAGGCATCAGTGCAATGAGATCCATCTTGAGACAAGAGATAAGTGGCCAGACACAGTGCTGGCGTCACAGCCCCAGAGACCCCTCAAGAGTGCCTTCTGGGGCTCTGGCCTTCTCTATCCCAGAGTGGGGCCCTGGTCAGTGGGGCAGGACCAGGAGCACTGCACCTATTCCCCCAAAACTGGGAAGCTGTAAGGACCCGTGTCTGGAAACCAAGGAGGGTCCCTCTGCAGAGCCACTACCACTGCCACCTTTCCCAACCACGCAGTACCAAGGCCTAGTCCTGGCCTCAGCACAGCTGTGCCGGCCACGGGCTGCATCTGGCAGCTGGGAGGACGATGTGGCGGTAGAAGGAACACAGAGCTCAGGAGGGGGCAGAGGGTCACAGGGCAGGGCCTGGGCGGCTCCCTCTTCTGCATGTTCCAAGTAACCACCGGTCATGCACCTCTGCCTCAGCCTTTCAGAGGAGTCTCGGCTTGAAGCTGCCTGGGGGAGCAGTCAGAGCCTAGCCTGGCCTCTCAGCCCGGACCCTCCCCAGCCACACGGAGACCCTCACACAGGGGCCCTCAGCAGGGGAGCCAGGGAGATCCAGTGACTGACAATGCAGTGCTTCCCTAGGGGGCATGACCACTCCTCCAGCCTGGGCAAGGGCTGGGTGGGGACTGACTTGCCTAGACCGCTCTTAGCAGCTCCTTCCTGCCCTCAATGCCTGCAGGAGAGAGCTGCCTGTGCCCCTGGGTGTGGGAGGGACCTGCTGGGTGCAGGTGCAGCTAGCCAAGGCAGGGGTCAATACAAGGCTGTTCAGAAGTGAACAGACACGTCCCGATCTGGCTGGCAGGGGAGGAAGCCCACAGCACAGACGCCAAGGCACAGGCCTTGGGAGAGGGGGTTCAGAGTTTAGCACTGGATGCCAGTGGAAGTGGTTTTTCCAAAAACTTTTTTTTCCCCCAAAAGATGGCCAGTAAGGGGATCTTACCCCTTGACTTGGTGTTGTCAGCACCACGCTCTCCCAAGTGAGCTCAGTGGCCATCCCTATATAAGGATCCGCACCCATGGCCTTGGTGTTACCAGCACCACACTCTCCCGAGTGATCCACGGGCCGGCCTTTTTCCAAAAACTTTTTTTTCCCCCAAAAGATGGCCAGTAAGGGGATCTTACCCCTTGACTTGGTGTTGTCAGCACCACGCTCTCCCAAGTGAGCTAAGTGGCCATCCCTATATAAGGATCCGCACCCATGGCCTTGGTGTTACCAGCACCACACTCTCCCGAGTGAGCCACGGGCCGGCCTTTTTCCAAAAACTTTCTCAAGAGCACAAGAGCATAGCATCCCTGCCTCAGTGGAATGTGGACTGGAACGTGCCTGGAGCTTCCTTCCCTCCCCGGTCCAGGCCCTAGCCTTGAGCAAGGCTGTGATGTGAGCAAGACACACCTCTTGGGGGCAGAAATAGAAACAGTGAATTCCTGAATATGCTGCCCTAACTTCAGACTCCAGCCTTTCCTGACCAGAGAAGCACACACACACAGATACACACACATGCACACAACTGTCCAGCCTAGGGCACTCAGAAGAGAGAACACGGTTTGTTCCATGACCTGCAAAACTGGCACCCTCAGGCCCACCCCCAGGAGCAGCCACCTTCGTCCCCACTGGACACACATCTGCCAACATTAGCCACAAGCTCAGGCAGGTGGCAAGGTGCCAAGTAGAGTGACTTCCTCACAAAACCTTCATTCCACAGATGGAAGGAAACCAGAGCTCAGGGAAGCCACGTGGACACCTCACAGCAGACAATCCCACCCCCAGGCCCAGATGCCCCAGCCCAGGCTGCAGGCCACTCACCTCGAGGATGAGGGGTAGTATGGGGATGAAGGCGCCGGTGCTCTCTGACAGCAGCGTCAGGGCACGAACGCAGTGCATGCGCAGCGGGTAGAAGCGGGCGGTGGGGACAAGCCTGGGGCATGGAAGGCAAGAGTGAGTGGAGGCCCCAGTTCTGGTGGCCTCACCCCAGCCAGCCTTCCCTCCCTGCCCCCTTCCCATTAACAGGGCTCCAACTGCAGGGGGCCTCCCCTCACTTCTGCCTGGCAGGTGGCCACACCTGCCCCACGAGGCAACATCAGATTCCTCCAGACAGAACAGGGCTGTTTGACAAAGACCCTGACTAAGTCCCAGCCGTAAGGACTTGCCTCCTTGCTCAGTTGTGGGGCTGGGGCACACCACACCCAGTGTTTTGCTTCATTTCACTTTAACGTTCAATCCTGCCTCCCTCTCTCCCCTGCTTCCTGCTTTTGGGGCTCCTTCACCTGGGCCTCCTGCCTCCCTCCCAGCCCTAAGTCACCCAGGCTCAGGTGAGGATTCCCTTCCGGAAGACAGAGACGCCCCCTCCTGGCGAGAGAGGCACACAGGCCCCTGGCCGCGGGCCCTGCTCCTACATTATCCTGCCACAGGCCCCATCCAGCCCCGATCCCCCTGACTATTCACATGTGAAATGCAGCTCATGAGCCCAGCCAGGCTCCACTGAAAAGCCTCGTGCTGATGAACCCAAACTCCCTGTAAACTGCACATGAGCCTACTTCACCACTCTGGGAGGAGCTCACTTCATGGGCGACTGCCAAGCCTAGCTGTCCGAAGTCCGGAGCAGCTTTCCACACCGGGGGGTGGGGATGGGGGTGCTGGGGGGACCTCGGGCTCTTCCTAAGGGATTGCCAAGACGTAGACCCCAGAGGCCCTGGACACCAGAGGCAGACGGTCCCTGAGAACTGGCCCCTCCAGGACGGCCCTGTGTAATACTAGTCAACTCACTTGATACAGCCGATGATGACCTGGGAGAGGGGATAGACCAAGGGCCGGAGGGCCTCGCTGGGGCGCACAGTACTCAGCACGCGGCACCATAGGTACAGGCAGTGCACGTACTGCCAGTTGTACACAGACTGATACGTCTCCTGGTAAAAGAAGGAGGTCCAGGTCCGGCCAGACAGAGGCACATCCCTCCCAGTTAACCCCTCACTGCCGTGCACAGGGTCCTGGCCAACAGCACCATCTTGTGCCCACCCTCCGCCCCCACCAGCAAGGGACTGCCCCCACCAAGGTGCTGAGTGGTGTCCCTTGACAGACAGGGGCTTCCAAGAGGCCCTAGGCCCTCACTGGGTGGGGCTCCTGGGACGCGCCACCCACCTCCCTCCAGGAGCCTGAGGGGCCCAACCCTGAACCTTCTTGCGAGTGATCATGGCATTGCGCAAGTGGATGGCAAGCTGGCGGATATAAAGGAAGGCATGCTGGTAGGAGGCACTGGGGTCCAGGGCCAGCAGCTCCGTCAGGGTCCGCTGCATGAAGCTGATGAGGGGTAGGGTGCCAGGAGAGGTAAACCTGCAGTTCTTCACATAGGCGATGTACATGTGCTGCCAGAGAGAACCTAGTCAGAGCCCCTGGACTCCCAGGGCCACGTGCACACCCACCGCCTGGCTCCGAGCCACCAGCAACGCCTGGGCCTTTCCCTCAGCTATGGCCTCAAGCAGGAACCACCACCTGGCTGCAGCTGCTGCAGACCCCTGCCCTGTACAGCCCCCCCAGCCCAGGCCCCTGCCACTGCTCAGTCTGCATGCACAGGTACACCAGACTGTGTACTGAGGCGCACAGAGGAGAGGAGTCTGAGAGAAAGAGTAGTTATGACGGAGGGACAAGCTGCAAAACAGGCAAGGAGAAGACTGACAGCCTGGGAGGGAAGGAGAGGAGGTCCTACTGCCTGCTGGGCCCATAATGGAGGCTCCAGAGGGTCCCTGTGTGCAGGTGAGCCATCCCAGAGCTGAAGCCAGGCAGCAGGGCCGGGATCCAGGTGTGACCTCAGACGGGACTCTATTCTTCTCCATAACCAACATCCCCAACCACCGACAGCAGACCCCTCCCTCTGGGAGAGCTGTGCAAAACAGAATCCAGGCAGAGCCTAGGAGGGCTGAGGGCTCCAGCTCCTGTCCCCTCCCCACCTGGCTTCTCAGAGAGGAACTTGTGAGCCAAGGGCCCAGACCCACCCAGAGCCACGGTGGTGCTGGGTTTGGCAAGGGGCGCCTACTGCCAGACAGCCTGCCCGGCCCGCAGGCTGAGCTCTCCAACTCAGACCCTGTGGAGGCAGATGTGGGGGCCCCATGCTACCTTGAGGAGAGGGCTCAGGAACGTGTCCTTCTTGTGCCGGCAGACTCTCATGAGGACCAGGAAGGCCAGCACGCGCAGGGACTCCTCACCCGTGCTCCACAGAACCACCATCCTCTGAGGAGGGCGGGACATCACTGCCAGCCCCAGCCCCTGACCTGGGCAGCCCCTGGGGCCACACACTCCTCCCTAAGCTGGCCAGAGGCTCCTGTGGTCCTTGCAGAGAGACAGCTCCGCCCAAAGCATCTCAGGGGAGCCATGAGAAACAAGACAGGTTAGAGAGAGACCAAAACATGCACAGAGTATATCACTCCCCATAAGCAAAGGACCACAAGAACTTTTGTCTGTGATTATGCACACGCGTACGTCCACATGCACTAAGACACAAGGGAAAAAGCACATCTCATCGCGGCTTTTACGGAACACGCCAGAAACCAACTACCCCAGCGGAGCAGTTCTCACACTGCCCCAGCTGCCAGTGAGGGCAGGGGGCCGCGGGAGACGGGGTCCCCGGGCAGGGCTGTGGGTGCAGGTGCCACATCTGCTCTGGCTAGGAGTGGGGATGTGTTGCGGGGTGGCCGTGTGCACAGCACTGTGCCGACACAGTGGGGATGGGGTGCCGCCCACCTTGAGCAGCATGCGGCACTGCTTGGGGAAGGTCAGATAGTAGGGCACCAAGCTGCTGATGTGCTGGAGGACGGCGGCTGACACTGTTGCTTCCACCAGACAGGCCACCAGCTAGGGGAGCAAATGGGACCCTCAGCCTGGGATAAGGTAGAGGACTGGACCACCGGACGTGGCCAAGGCACCCGACCCCACCAGAGCAGCACCTGTGTGACGGAGCTCAGGTACGCCTTGACATCCACACGGAGCTTCCCCCAGAGCGGGCTGCTGGACGGCTGCAGCATCCTGCAGAGAGACGCCCCCGCCCCGCCCACGAGGCCCTGCTGCTTAAATGCAAGGTGCCGAGCCCCACCCTGCCCAGGCGCAGGGCCCGTGACCCTGCGAGGAGATGGCCCATCTTTCCCCATCAACAGCTCAAGGGCTCCTTACAGCTAGATGGACAAGGGGGCTCACGACATCTCCCTCAAGGGTGGCCCCAACTGACACGCCAGCCCCTCCCACAGGCCTCACACCTGGCAGAAAAGCCAAGAGTCTTTCCCTGAGAGTCCATAGAGGAACACCCAGTCCCCAGCTCCCTCCCTCAGACATAAACCTCTTCTGGGTTCCCTCAGTCCATCACCACGGGACCAGGCACCCAAACCCTGCAATCAGCACTTGAAGGCCGCTGGGGCCCAATCCAAGCACCACTAACTGCTGCAGGCTGGCTTCTTTCCACACATATGTTGTTAAAAACAATGAACATTCCACATTTATAAGCTTAGTTTCACCTAAAACTCCCAACCCTAGATCCCTTTTAAGAAACTGGAACACCTCCCAACAGTCAGCAACATTTCTGCGAGTGCCCCAAAGGCTCTACCCTCAGCGTCCACAGAACCCAGCACATAACAGGGGCTCACTTAGACCTGCTGAGATGCACAAAGGACAATGCAGGGGCCCTGAAGCTCTTCCTATCGTCAGCCAACCCTCTGTGCACCTGCAGCTGTGCCCCCAGCACCAGAGAGAGTACTGCTCCCCAAGGCCCACCTACCCCTTCCTGGTGACTACTCCCCTGAGGACCAGGCTGCCTGTGGTGCTGCAGCCACCGTGGCAGGAGAGCCTCACTGCCACTGCCACCCTGCTCCGGCTCCCTGCTGCCTGCTCATCTTGCCACTATCCCTTTGTCCTCCCAACCTGTTGGCTTCCTCGCCCCTTCAGCAAGCACCACCTCCATGTGGCGCACACCCTGACCACTGCCACCAGCAACAGGTAGGTGCTCCCACCCCCATGGCCACTACTGCGCTCCTCACTGCTCCAGGTGCTGACGGCAGGACCCTTCCAACTCTCTAGGCCCTGACTGCCTGGAAGTCATGTGGCTGCGCCCCCAGCCCCAGTGTGAGCCATGCTCCACCAAACGCTCTGCCACCAAATGCTCTGCCGTGCTCCTCTCCTCCCAGAAGACCTCCCACAGCCTCCTCTGCCCAATCTACCTCTAAGCCAGAAGCTGAGGCCCCCAGACCCAGCATTGAGGCCCCTGCCTACAGACATACTCGCCTCCTGGAGCCGGGCCAAATAAAGCAGAAGTCACAGAGTATGGACAGAACTTACACATCCACAAAGAAAAGGAAAAGAGAGGCCTGATCTAGAAAATTCTAAGAGCAAAGCCAAGCGTATGCCCCATGTCCCGAGAAACTTCAGGAAGGAGAGAGAGTGGGGCCACCCCAACTGGCCCTGAGTACCCAGTCTCTCCCAAGGGTCCCTCATGCCCCTGCCCTCTCAGGCCCCACCATGTCTCTGGGTCCAGCCACAAGGCCTCTGCCTTCAGTACAGGGCCTTCACCACACCCTCCGTCCCACCCACGCCTCCCCCTTCTCTCACCTGCTGCTACCCTTTGGTGTCTTTCCAACCAACAGTTTCTGGACACAGCCAAAGAGGTCCCTGATACAGAAGGTGACCAGAACATTGAACACTGTAACAAAAAGAACCATGGCTGTCATTCACAGGACAGAATGTGCAACAGAGAGCCTGCTTCCCAGGCCCTCGCCCCCGCTCACCAGCACTGTCCGTGACCTGGAATTTGCTGGCCTCAGCACCCTCCTGGTCTCCTTGGGTGGTGGCCACAGCTGCTCGGAAGGCCTGCACAACTTCGTGGAACAGCTTTGGAGTGAGGTGCTGCTAAAGGGAAAGAAGACCAAGAATGCTGGGGGGGGGCTGCGACAGGCTGAGCTAGAGGCAGCTGGGCTGCAGGAACCTATGGGAGAACGACACCCCTCACCCACATTCTCAGAATCAGGACAGAGATGGGGTCAGAATCACTGAGCCACGTGCTAGTAACAAAAATGGAGACAAAGTCTAGAACCCTCCTGGGAAGGCAAGAAGTCTGGCTCAGAAGCCTTAGGGGAAAGCCGAAGGTCCCAGGTCCTGGACCACAGCCAGCTCCAGGTGGGATCTGGAATTATCCTTTTCCATCTTCTCCCTGTTCACAAGAGCCCTGGCTCTACCAACTGGCAAAGGCACAGACGCTACTACGATGACAGACTGACTTTGGGGAACGGAAACTGTGGGAGAGGGACTGAGAAAGGGAGGAGACAGAGCCCCTGGCATCTGCCTGATGGAGAGGACGTAATCCTGGGAATTGTAGCACTCAGGAAGAACTACCTGTGACTACTTTGCGTTGAGTGTGACTCCAATGCCCCATGCTGGGAGAAGGGCTCCTCCCACCTGCACAGCCTCAGCTGCCCACCCCATCCCCCTGCTCACCTTTGCCGCCTGCTTCCATCTTTCAACCATGGCGAAGGTCACAGCAACAGAGCTGCTCTTCTTCCCCTTCAGTTCTCTGTCCCTGCCCTGCTCATCTGCCTCTCCGTCCTCCTCCTCACTGGCCTCCTGCACCAGACAAAGAAGGGCTGAGCCGGGGTAGGTGCTGAGACCATGGGCACCCCTCCACCCACTGCCCAGTTCTGCACCTGCTCTCACCTCCAGCATGGCTGGCAGCTGGTGGAGCTGCTCCTCTTCATCCTCAGAGCTGTCCGAGTCACTGAAGTTCAGCAGGCTCTGGTCATTCTCCTGCAGGAACTTGTAGAACTCGGGGTCTTTGTCCTTCAGCCGTGATAGCTGGTCCTTGTGCTCAGAGGCACGGCCTTTATGCCGACTGAGAAGGAAGAGGGCAGCAAGCCCAGTGGAGAGGCAATAGGGGCAGGGGGAGGGGGCTTCTTGTCCCCCCCAATGCCAGCTTGCTGGCCTCCTCAGAGAGGCTATGCAGGTTAGTATGTTGCCTCCACAATAGCCACAACCGAGGCAGGAGGGTTCCCAGGAGGTGTTTTCCGCAGACCCATCGCCTCCACACTCCAACTCACACACCCACGGCCTCTCTACACTGTTTCAACCCGGGCATCTCAAACTCCGCACGTGACACCCACCTTCTGCTCTGCCCCAGACATGCTGAGCCCCACTATGCCCCTCAGTTGTTGGTACCGCCACCCTTCCAGGCGTTCAGGCAAAAGACAACCTCTGTCTGCGTCTCAACGCTCTCAACCACCGTAACAACCTCTGCGTCAACTCTCTCAGTCACCGTAACAACCTCTGCGTCAACTCTCTCAGTCACTGTGACGGCCTCTCCTGTCTCCACTCTTGCAACCTACAACCTCATCTCAGCACAGCAACTGGGTAAGCCTGTGTCGCATGTCACGTGACATCCCTTCACCTCTCTAACCCTGAAACAACTGCCACCTCGCCGGAGGTCTCATGACAGCGGACAGCGCTGGTCCTCGCCGTCACTCTGGGCTCATCTCCTGCGACGCTCCCCTCACTCCCTGCCACAGCCACACCGGAGCCTTTGCTGACCCTGTCCCCGCCGTCTGCCCGGCTCGCGCTCTCCGACCCTCACTCAAGTACCAGCTGCTCCGCTGGCCTCTCTCCTCTTAACGGGGCTCTGTTCCCGCTCTTCCTTCGTCCCCAGCGCTCGCCTCTCCCGACGGGCCGCGCACGGGATCCACCCCAGACCACGAAGGGGCGTGTGCGCTCTTTGCGACGCCCGCCCGCCACCTACAGGGCGCGGAGCAGGGGCCCGCGACACCGCAGCGGGAGGGGGCCCGGAGAGGCCGGGCGCCCCGCTCGTGTCGTCCGCTCACCTGGTCG